GTACATCTTAAAAAATAGCTGCAGTTCTGATACATCTGCATACTGGTGTCCAAAAATGGAAATTAGCTATTTTCTTTATAATCATCTTTAAATTTCTTTTGTTTATACGCGATGAATTAAGACCACAAATATAACCTAACTATAACCCATTCTGGGACCTTCCCTTCGTCTCCTTTCAGCTACACAACACACACACACACACACACACACACACACACACACACAGGTGATGGTGCTTTTGTTAATTTTTTTGCAATGGAGGTACATGAGTGAAAGATAATACGTTGATGTGAATATGTTGTGTGTTTCAGTATGTCGCTTGTATAACGTGACGGTGAGTGCAGACACCCGTCAGAGGCTTGGAGTGGACGGCAAGGTGCAGCTGGTGGTGGAGAACGGCCACATTACCATCGTTTCCCTCGACGGCAATAGAATCGTCCGCTGGGGTATTGAAAACCTCCGCCGCTTCGGCTACACCGACGACAACTTCCATCTGGAGGCCGGCAGGAAGACTCAGTTTGGCGAGGGAGAGTTCGTTTTCTTAACTAATTCGGTAAGAGCTAGTTAAGTCACACACAATACTGATCGCTCTTTGGTAGATTCTCACGCAACACTAGTCGCTCTTAGGTAGACTAGCACACAACACTGGTCACTCTCTGGTTATTTTACATACGCATCACTGGTCACTAGCAGGTCAGTATACACAACAATGGTCACTTGCAATTTGAGATACACAACTTAGGATACTATCTGATTAATATACATAACACTTGTCACCTGGCAAGCTAATATACATAGAACGGGAGATTTTCAGAGCTAGATAATTACTCTGGTCAGTAATAGACGAAGAAGCAGATCTGGTCACCGTCAGATACAGAAACACAGATCTGGTCACCTTTAGACACTGAAGCACAGTTCTGGTCACCTTGTGGCTTAGCGCTTCTTTTTGATTATAATAATAATCTGGTCACCTTCAGACACTGAAACACAGTTCTGGTCACCTTCAGACACTGAAACACAGTTCTGGTCACCTTCAGACACTGAAACACAGTTCTGATAATTCGATATAATAATGGATGAGTAAGACACAAGCGTAACAGATATCTTTATTTCCGAAACGTGTCGCCTACACAGTAGGTTTCTTCATGTGTAATACAGCGGTAACTGAATATGAAGACAGCCGAAACAGTGGAGAGGTAAAGATGGTGTGATCAGTCCATCAGCCTTGAAGACGTTGTTTTGAGGTGGTTAGTCCCCTAGTCTTGTGAAGTGCTCAGTTCCATAACTGAAGAAACCTATTGCGTAGGCGAAACGTTTAACTGTTACACATATGACTTACTCATCTACCTGTCGCTATTTGTCTATATTGTATACCATTATTTTAATGATATAGTAATACTAATAACAATAATTGTGCTTAGTTTTGATTATAATGATAATAATAATAACAATAATTATAGTAATCCGAATAAACTCGAGAAGATGCAATAACACACTGACCAGTGAGTTTTTGGACTCATCTGCCAAGGGCTCGAACTCCACCCTTTTCTGTGATTTAATTAATCCTATCAAACTGATATTGTTGACAGGGTAAACAGATCCACACACTGGTGTCGAAGGAGAAAGAGATAGCACGTCACAACGTAACAAACAAGTCTCAGTCGGTGCCCCCTGGCCAGGTGTTGCTACCTAATACTCCCAACGCTGACCAAGACATGCTCACCCTGGGTAGACACATCTATGAAGAGCTACCCATTGTGAAGCCCGCAGTATCCAGCACTGTGGTCAAGGTAATTGTTGTACATATGTTGGTAGAATTACCGACAATATGTGCAACTAATTGTGACATTTTATTGTGGAAACGTTTCGCTCTCCAGGAGCTTTATCAAGCCGTTACAAACAATACATGGACACAGAGGGTATATATAGGCTTAGAGTGAGGTATAATACTAGTGGTAGTAGTAGTAGTAGTAGTATTAGTATTAGTAGTAGTAGTAGTAGTAGTAGTAGTAGTAGTAGTAGTAGTATAGTAATGATATAAGTTGTAGTAGTAGTAAAACAATATGGTGAACAATTAACTTGCACATAAGTAAAAGGATATAAAAGCTATTACTTTGGTAACATAAAAATAGGTTAGACAAATATTTCTGTTGGAAGTTGGATTAGAGGCAGCCTGTTTCAGTGTTCATCCTCTGTAATGTGCTTTGTGTAGTATTAACAGGAGAGACTATGTGATGGCAGGGTTTACTGTTTTCAGGAGGATTCTTGCTAAGACTTCAGAGATGGTGAAGCTGCCGTTGTTTTGTTTAATTGTATTAGAAACAGCGATTAGTGCTGATTCAAGGCACTTGAGTCTGCGGAAATTAGTTTCTCTGATCACTAATCTGGCGTCCTTGAATTTCATGAGACGATTGGTGGAATTTCGGTGTTGCACGCAGGCGTTGTTCAAGTTGTCGTTCCTACATGCATAAATGTGTTCATTGAGGCGGGTGTCGAGGTTTCTTGCTGTTTCACCTACATAAATCCTGTCACAGCCTCCACAGGGTATAGTGTAAACCCCTGCGTTGACTGGTTCGTGGCGCTTGGATTTTCTCCTGGTTAGATCCTTTATTGAAATGCTGGAAGTGTTAGCTTGTGTAAGTGCATTAAAAACGTTCAAAGCAACCTGGCTGTTGGGAAGAATTATAACTCTTTTAGGAGTGGTGTTGATGCGTGGAGAATTAATGATATGAAGAGCTCTTTTCTTGCAATCTTTGATGAAAAAGAAAGTAATATGTAAATCAGTGAAGGTTTGGTGAATGTATGTACATTCCTCATCAAAAAACTCAGGACTACAAATTCGGTATGCTTTTAGGAAAACTCCGATGATGATGATGCCTCTTTTGGTGTTAGAATCTTGACTGGAATAGAAGTGTGAGATCATTTTTATTTGTAAGTTTCCTGTAAACTTGAAATCTTAGGTTATCTACTTTGTAAATGAGGACGTCTAGAAAAGGTAGCTTGTTCACTGGACTCTTCTTCTAGTGTAAACTGGATCGCCGGTTCAACTGCGTTGACCTTACCTGAAGACTCCGACATCAAAACTTTTGGGAGTTATTACGAGGACGTCGTCCACGTAACGTAACCATTGTTTATCCTCGAGGTGAGGCGGTAGTCCTACGTGTGTGTGTGTGTGTGTGTGTGTGTGTGTGTGTGTGTGTGTGTGTGTGTGTGTGTGTGTGTGTGTGTGTGTGTGTGTGTGTGTGTGTGTGTGTGTTTGTGTTGGAGACTTGATCCTTCATTCGTGTGATGGAGATTTGAGCCTCTGTCCGTGTGGGTCCATTAATATCAAGTGTAGCAATTCTCCTCTTTCTCTCTGCCTCTTTAAATTTTATATGAGTAATAGATAAACAGTATTTGCAGCACAAGTTAATGACAGACATTTCTTAACACGCAGGACACTCGTGCATCCAGCACTGGACAGAAACCAGACAAGCCTCCTAGAGCTGTGAATACCAGGAGCTTCGAAACTGTTGTACCAGGGCCTCAATTGCCCAACCTCAGCCCTCAGAAGATAATGAATTTCTCATACAACAACGGTCACAATTCGCAAGCCAATGTCCCTGTACAAGGAAAACAATCGAAGACTCATACGACTTGCCCTGCACCAGGGTGCGCCCCGGACATGCTGCCTGCAGTCAAAGTCCTGCCTAAGATTACTGGCAAATATCAACCATCCACTGTGTCCGAGAATGCTGTTTACTCCGAGCCTATGGTTTACACAGAAGCCTGGAAGGAATACAGTCGAAATGATGACGAGGTTGTGGACGGTAAGTTGCTTGGGAAAAAGTCCACATGTATACACAACTTTCACTGACCGAAGTATTTCGTTGAAAACTACAGTCATATTTTTATTAATATTAATATTATTTATGTCAAACGCTAAACTTCTGCAGGTAATTCAGCGCAAAGAGCAATGGAAACCCGATTAGTTATATATTTTTTAAAGTTTTTAATTACTGTTGTACCAGGATGACTTCCTTCCGGAGAGCACTCTGGTTATTATTATTATATTTATGAGGACACACTGAACCACTTACGGTCATGCTGCACGTCGGGCATTAATGGGAGGGGATCAGAACTGATCCAAGAAAGAGGAGAGTAGCTCCAGTTCTATAGATCAAGAACCCTGCACCAGCATCAAGGTACCCACTTGGTGGGGGTGTGTGGTGAAGCCTCTGGAGAAGCTTGGTGTTATAAATGTCAACCATGACGAGTTTACGATACGTGAAATCTGTCAACCCAAGAGGAGCTTCAGGAGTGATCAACACCTCTGGGAAGAGAGGCCTTTGTAACCGGTGAATTGCTCTTCATCCTAGGAATTGTTGCTACCCTCCCCATCCTTGTATGGTGCCTGATTGCCTCCCATTCCTCAGGCACTGCATGACCCAAGCTGGTTGAGCGTCTAATCATAAATGGAGTAATAATAACATTAATAATCTGGGAAATAAGAAAAATAAAGAAAATAAAATTCTCCTTAATGTCTTTCTGATATTATCCTCTCACGTAATTTCTCTTCCTTCCCTACTAATTTCTCGCTCCTCCGCGTCTCTGTTCTCTGCTCTCTTCTCTCCTATCTCTCTCTCTCATATATATATATATATATATATATATATATATATATATATATATATATATATATTATATATATATATACATATGTGTGTGCGTGTGTGTGTGTGTGTGTGTGTGTGTTGTGTGTGTGTGTGTGTGTGTGTGTGTGTGTGTGTGTGTGTGTGTGTGTGTGTGTGTGTGTGTGTGTGTGTGTGTGTGTGTATGTGTGTGCCGAATAGGTAAAATTGGTCAATTAGCAAGAACTCATTTAAAATTAAGTCCTTTCTAAAATTTTCTCTTTTACGTTTAAAGATATATTTAAAGATGTTTAAAGATATTTAAAGATATATATTAATGTAAAAATTAATAATTTTTTACCAGGAAGAACCTTAGAAAACTTACCTAACCTTGTAACCAGCGCAATTTAATTTAGCCTAATCCAACTAAGTATATTTTAGATAAGTTTACAATAATATAATAACATAATGAAATATATTTTTTTCGTTAGGTTCAGATCGATTTTTGCGAAATTATTGCATACACAAATTTTCATTCCGTGATTAATCTTTTCAGAACCTGTAAACTGTGAATACGACAAACTGAAACACTTCACGCCATCCAACAAGGAGGTAATGACATCCTATCTTGTTCTTTATATCAACAAACCTTACGTTTTTTTTTCTCGTTTGAGACTCGGGTGGAAACACGCTATGTGCAGATTTGGATACGTATACAGCAGTTCGAATGTTTATAAGATGTTAGGTAAATGGACACAGATGCAAGTAATGTGACATATTATTGTGGTAACATTTCGCTCTCCAGGAGCTTTGTCAAGCAGTAACGGCTTGACAAAGCTCCTGTCGCAATAAAATGTCACATTAGTTGCATCTCTGTCCATTTACCTAACATTTTGTCGGTAATTTTACCATTATTACTGTTTATTAGTTGTTTCGTGCGCTGGGACTTTCTCAGTCCTTGTACTATGTACCTTGTACCTTGTATTATGTACTATGTACATTGTACCTTGTACCTTGTACTATGTACCTTGTACCTTGTACTATGTACTATGTACTATGTACCTTGTACTATGTATCGTTCTGTCAAATCAAGACATGAAAATACTCTACTTAAGAGGGAAACGTCATTACAGAAATATAGATTTCCTCTGTTCATGGTGTGTTCTACCTTACAATTCTCAATTCATTTAAAAAATGAGTTTCGCAAATTAGAATCTCCTGAATGTATGCTGTCCACTATAAAACATTTATAATATGAAGAATTAGACACAGGTGCAACATCTGGGTATCTACGTTTGTAGATGTTTCTTCAATACGAGGACATAATGTGATGAATTCTGATAAAGCCACTAGATGGCGAAACGTCTACAGATAAAGATACCAGGATGTTTCATATGTCTGGTTCCGTATGTTGTCGGTATTGTATACCATTCGTGTACAATATTAAAAATAGTTTAAGACAATACTGATATGCAATTTTTTTCATTTTTTGTGTCAAAACTAATGTTAATGCCTAGACTAACCTTGCTAGAAATTTACGTAATGTCAAACGGCATTATTTTTTTGTAACCAGTCTTAAGAATTTGCGTAAGATAACGTCTTTCCTCAGAGGGCCTTAAGGTGTTGCTGGTGAAGGGCTCTTGATCCAGTGAGTTGGAGCTACCCTTCACGTCCTCGGGTCAAATCTGATTTGGTGACTCTTACGTGTTTAGCGCTTCCCCGTGAATATTAGAATAATTCAGATGACCTAATTCCATTTATTCTAAATTAATGCGGTATAATTATGAGGAAACGCTAAATCCGTAGGGTCAAATAGTTCTTGAGGAATGGGAGGTGATTAGGTTCGACCTAAGGAAGGGGAAAGTTTCAAATTTTTCTTGGGGAGAGCCCTTCCCATAAAAATATTTAAGCATCTGGAGAACCCTTGAACTCTGTAATCTGAAACCCAATTCTAAGCCCCCCACGGTTAAATTTTTTAAAGCAAAAACCTTTGCAATATTTTTCCTGAGGGCTGTGTGCGAAGGCTTTGATGAGAGTCGCAGGTTCGAATCTTTTGGGCTAGTTTTTGTTTAATAAAGATAAAGCAACATTATAAATGCGTTTTGGAGGGAATAGAAAATTTTATTAGTTTTTTGCCCTTTTAGAGGTTCTTTAATCCCAAGGCCATAAGGGTTTAAAGTTTTCCCTGATTTGGGATGGGTAACATTACCAATTAATACCCTCGTGTTGAAATTTAAAGGCGATGAAATAACTTTTTACAGGTGGTGAGGAGTACTTGATGCATCCCCATTTTCGAAATCCGGTCCCGGGGGAAAATTGTTTAAAAAAAAAAGACGAAAGCCAATTTATTCCCAGGGGATAAGAAAAAGAAGTCCTTAAAGGTAAAATGGTTAAATTCCTTTTCTTATTTTTCTTTGATCTGCCCGACACTTTAAGAAAAAAATTAAATTTTTTATAATAATATATATATTTTTTTAAAATTTTTAAATTATAAAAAAAAATAAAAAATTTTTTCATGGTTACAAAAAGTTCAGAAAAAAACTGGCTTAAAAACACTTCTTTGGCCCCCCCTCTTTTGGTACTTTAAAAAAAAATAAAATATATATATTATTTAATATTTTATTATAAAAAAAACCCCCCTGTGGGCGGTTGAAAATAAAAAAGGTAAATAAGGGTCGGGACTCCAAAAGTTTTTGGCGGCTTCAGGGTAATAACACAAACGGAAATTGAATTAAAAAATTTAAAAAGGTTAATAGGTATTACCCAAAACATCCCCAAGTTCGGGTAAAGATTACAGAGGTACAAATGGGTCCAGGACGGGGCCCAAAAGTTTTGAGGTGAAAGGGTACAAGTAATGAATAAAATTCCAAAAGGTAATGAATACTTAAAAGGTTTTTTGGTTTATACATCTACAATTAAAAAATTTTAAGTAAGAGCAATTCAACTCCCCAAAGGTACAACTTAGTAGTAGGGTACAAAAATATTGATTGTTAGTCCCCTGTTTAGGGGGTGATAAAAATTAGGGGAACACCCCAAACCAAACCCCACCAACAAACAAAAAAACACCCCAAAAACACCCACCACACACAACACAACACCAACAAAAAACACACACACAACACACACCCAACTCACACACACACACATCAAACAACACACATAAACAACAAACCACCACACACACCCTTTTAACTACACACGCACACCCCCCCCCCACACAAACACACCCCAAACACACCACACAGGAGCTTGGACCGACCCCTCAATCTCAACTATTTTGGGGCCCCACAAACACACACAACACACACCACAGAAAAGGGATTCGTTTAAGACCTGTATCATTTACGTAGGCCCATACTGGAGTATGCCACCATTTGGAATCCACCCCTGTCAAGTGTAAAAATTTTGAGAAAGTGCAAAGGTTTGCAACAAGACATCCCAGAGCTACGGGGATTTCCTACGAAGAAAGGTTGGGGGAAAATCGGCCTGACGACACTGGAGGCGGGAGGGTCAGGGGAGACATGATAACGACATATAAAAATACTGCGGGGAATAGACAAGGTGGACAAAGACGGGATGTTCCAAGAAGGGGACACAGACACAAAGGTCAAAATTTGGAAGTTAAGACCGATAAATCAAAAGGGTTTAGGAAGTATTTCTTCGGTCTAGAGTAGTCGGGCCGGGGAATAGCCTAGAAAGTGACGTAGTGGAGGCGGAAAACCATACATATTTTTAAGGCGAGGTTGTAGAGCCCATGGGGCGGGGGAGAGGAGAGGCCCCGAGCATCAGCAAAGAGGGGGGGCCGGGAGCTGTGATCGACCCCTGCAAAAAAAAAAAGGGTGAGTAAAAATGGTGAGTACACACCACACACAAAAACATGCTTTATTTACGTAGCAAAGTCAGGGTATTTCTCCAAAAAGGTCGTAATATCCATTTGGGATAAAAACTTCCCTTTTCTTGAACATTCTGAGTGAGTTGTTCTAAATTCATTAATTTTATCGCATCAGTACATATGAGCGGGTGTACAAAGTCCTCTGGCAAAGTTTACATTTCGTTTGGTCTACATCGGGTGGTGGTGTTAAACCCTCCCAAAGTATTGAACCCCCGGGAGCGGGAGTGTGACATCCAAGAGTCTGTTTTTTGTTGGAGCACCATAGACATGTGGCTCCTCCTGCATGTAAATGATGATAATGGCTCACTGGTGTCATCTCCCTGGCCTAAGCCTAAAATTCAGTTGAAGTTCTTTTGTATTATTGTTCTCAAACTATACCTGAAACCCAATATTGAAATTACCCCCCTTTGAAGCATACAGCTTAGCCAATTTTATCAGTTCTATCATGCATTAAAGCCAAGTAATGGAATCCACAGCATGTGCACTCTGACTCCACTGCCCACAATCCACCAACTGTGTCTGGCTTCTGACAAAAGCATCCCACAATTTATGTTTTAATGGTTGGAGCATTATGGTTACAGAAAAACCCGTTAAAATTTAAAACTGTCAATCTTTGAAACAAGATGCATTTCAGTGCAAGGAGTTGGCAAACATTTCTGTCTAAAAGGGTAGGGGCCCATTATTGTTTGCGTGCTCCATTTTTTTAAGGACCCATCACTTGTACGACAACAGCGCACTACCGGACGGGGGATTGGTGAACAAAACCCATCAGCGAAATTTTTGCGAGAGTGGTGCTGTGTGATAAGTTATCAATACAGCTTAAGGCCCATTTTTGGGCTTCAAGGCGAATTTTTGGTTGTGATTTAAGAAGTAGTTTGGGGGGAAATGGGGGAAAAGGGTATTTTGGGAATGGGGTTTAATATTCCATGGAGGGAGAAGTGCCGCTTTTGCCTTACTTGACAAAGATAGTATCTGATTCATGCGGAGGTCGGTTCCATTTTTTTTCGACCATCTAGAGGAGTGTTCCCCCAGTGCTGAGGAAAGTTTGGAGGGTTTTGTGCAGGGGTTTGAATGAGCTTCCCTGAGCATATTCCCCCCATTTTGGATATTTCTTTCGAAACCACGATCTCTGATGTTGGAATTCAATTTCTTTTTGCATATTTAAAATTTTGGCAGTACGGGGGCATCCAAAATGATCCTCTTTGTTTCGTTCTGCATTTTTCCCAGCCCCCAAGTTCCTCGACAAAGACAATGTGGGCAGCATAATAAACCAAAAGATCAATATAAGCAAGATACATTTTTTTCACAATTTTAACATTAGCACCCTACCTGGGGGGAAGCCCCGCCACAACTCTAAGTGCTCTTTTTCTTTCTTTGTATTCGACAAAGTCTTGTTACAAAAGGTCCCAAATAGTGGAACTCAAAGCCTAGATACCTTATTGTTACTATTCTAGAAGAGACCCATCTGCAATTTTGGATTAGACGTGCCTCTCTGTCGGGAGGGCCTATTGAGTATCTTTGTTTTATCATGAGATTACAACCCAGGTCCTGACCGGGCTATAATGATAAAAATGTTTTGGGGTTGGAGAATCCCGGGGGTGTGAAATCATTATGTATCAGAAAAAAAATCAATAATGATGGGGCTGATGGCCTAGCCCTTAAGTAATGCATTAATTAATATTTTAACTGTGGGATGAGCCACCTCCCTGTGGGGTTCCAATTAAAGTTCTTAGTTACACTTCATGTCCCCGGAACAACACAGCGATTTTCTGTTGGAAGGGACCTTTAAACCCCGGGGGGGAACCATCCTCCCAAAATCCATTCTGGGAAGTTCACTAAAGATTACGT